GGCACAACGCCAGGGCTCTCCTGCCTCTCCCTGCGAGGCCAGGCGGCAGCAGGAGCAAAACGCCCTCAGATCTAACTCCGTGTTGAGCCCTCCGCCCCAGACTCGGTTCACTCCCAAGGCCAGGACCAGCTGCCCTGCCCGCGTCAGCCCCCTGCTGACCCCTCAACCCAGGGAGCTGGCTGTGTGCCCGGGGTTCGTGGCTGCAAGGATCCAGTACTACAATGCTCAGCTGGGGGAGGCTCACCTCCCAAAGCCGATGGCCAGGCCACATCCCGCCCGGCATCGCCAGGCACGGGCGGGACAAGTGGGGGCCGTGACGGAATGTCGCCAGAGCAAAGCCACTAACAAGAGCCCCAGGCCAGGCCGGAGGGTGAAGATGCAAGGGCCAGAGCCAGTGCGCTGCTGGACAGCTGGAGGCCACCTGGGACTGGAGGCCCCGGGATGCGTGGAGAGAGTGAGTGACCTCCTTGTGGCATGGCAAGTCGCTGTGCAACCCTGAACGAGCAGCTGAGTCCTTCCCCCTTCGCCGGATCCCCTGCAAGAGCCAGCGGCCAGTCGCTACCTGGGACACATGGGAGATGATAGGCAGAGGTCACATCCCAAATGAGGTTGTGCAGGGAGCTCACTGCTCCCCGAGTCGGCACCGAGCTCCCTGCAGGCCCCCCACTCATGCCGCCTTGCTGGGGCTCCCCCTGCCTCTGCTGCATCCTCATCGCCTGCCCTTGCCCCTGCCACGTCACTGGCGCTCCCCTCGCACCTGGTAGGGAATGTGCTTGGGCGGGGGGCAGAGCACTGGGTAGAGGGGAGCAGGCTGCCCAGTGCTGGGGGGCGAGGGGCAGCTGCCCCAGTGACAGACCTGTGCTCCGGCAAGCAGCAGCCCTCCCTGATCCCTGGGTGAGGGGGTGGGGTTTGGATCTTAGTTCCTGTGTGCCAGTCATATGCACCATGGGGTTTCCGCCAGCAGGCAGCTGGATGGACAGGGTGCCTCGGCGTGTCCAGCTTGTCCCGAAGGCTGGGAAATTCCAGCGGGGGCTGCTCCACGCATGCTGCCCAGGTGTGGCTCTCCACCTTCCTCTCACAGTCCTTGCAGCAGCTGAGAAGCTGCTAGGCCAGGAGTGCTGCGGTCACGGGGGCGCCCCGGCCTGGCTGCCCAGGGGCCATTCTAGAGCAAGACAGGACAGAGCTCCACGCCTGCTGTGACTGCAGGCCCAGGCCTGTACCTCGCTCACTGGGCGGCTGCAGCTGGGGCTTCTCCTGCCAGGCAGGTGTCCCTCCCCTGGCTCGCAGGCTGATTGACGGGGTGTGGCTGTCAGACGCAGCCCTGGCCCCTGCAGTGCATGCTCGGAGTGGGGGCGGGGGTGCTTTCTGCGTGGGGTCGGGCAGTTGGTGAGACTCGCGCTGTGGACCTGAGGCTGGATCATTTGCCCTTCAGGGCCTCTCCCATTCTGCCTCAGTGCTCAGGAGGGAGCCCTGGTCCCCGGAGGGGATTATCTCCTGTGCTGCCCGGCCCTCTGCGTGGACTGGGCTGCCCCCGCCCCACTCCGCTGGGCATGAAGGAAAAGCCCCTGAGCATCAGCATGGCCCTTGGCTGGCTCATGGCCGGGAAGAGCTGGCCCCCCCTGTGTTCTGGGAGTGAGAGGGACGTGGCCGTCCTGTCTGTGTGCCCCATGGACGCAGGCTTCCAGGTGAGTGGCCGGGGCGGCAGGTGGGCAGGGAGCTGCTGCTGGGTATCTGCTTGGATTTCAGCAGAGGGTACAGGGATCCCAGCGGAGAGCCAGACGCAGAAGCAGCAGGAACCCTGCCCTGTGCTCAGGGCCTGCCAGGAGGGAGGGTGGGCTCCTGGGTAAGGCACAGGAGTGGGACTCGGCACATCTGGGTTACTTAGTCTGTAAGGTCTTTGGGGCAGGATCTCTGTGTGTACCCCACCTTGGCCAGCCTTAGCACAAAACAAACAATTCTTCCTCAGCTGCCCAGCGGGGCTGCGGTGATGGGGCCGGCTGAGGATAGCGTGGGCATGTCTGCCCCAGGCAGGGGAGGAAATGCACCCAGCTGTCGTCTTTGCCCCCAGAGACCCTGCAGGAGCCTGGCTGTGGCGTAGCGGCAGGGCTCTGCTGAGCAGTGCCCCTTGCTGGGCGTGTATTGGCCAGGCACACGCAGGGCTGGCTGCAGTGGCACATAACAGGGAGAGACGCCCCAATGGGCAGGGCCATGGTTTGAATGCCGAGTCAGGGGTTGGCCCGTGTGCAGAGCTCTGCCCTGGGTCTGCGTTTACAATTGCTGCTGTGTGAAGGGCGGATCTAGGGCTTGGCTGGGCCTGTGTCTGAGTGAGGGGCAATGGGAGTGTGGCCGGGGCACACAGCAGGGCTTGTGCAGTTACCACAGATGGGCAGCCTGGCCCCGGGGTGAACTGACCCCCACCTCCCAGCATCAGACGTACCAGGGCTGGCCCGGCAGGGACTGCAGGCAGCTGGGCGCTGCAAGGGACCAGCAGAGGGGTGGGCGAACGGTGGCTTTGCAGGGAGAGTTGGAGGAGGATAGAGACGCTTGTGTCCTTGGGGGAGCTGCAGGGCTAGCTTGGGGGTCCAGCTGCTGGAAGGGAGGTGGCTGGGACCAGAGGGAGCCTGAAGTGCACTGGGTTGATCTGAGCTGGCTAAGGCTGCCCAGCTGGGCTTCATGTCTGACCACTCACCTGGCCCGTGTCTAACACCTGGCCTGCAGCCTGCCAGAGTGTTGCCATCTCCGCTGTGCTGTGCCCGGGGAGTGACGGCGAGCTCTGGGTATCTCCCTCGGGCCCGGAAGGCAGCTGGGAGTCTGGTGCCCCAGTCAATGCTTCACTGTCAGCTGTTGCTTTGCCCTCTGAGGGGCAGACGAGCTGTCACGGATGCAGGGAGCTGAGCCCTCTGGGGAGCTCCGCTCATGTCTGCCTTGGGGCATTAGGGGAATGCAGAGCAGCCCGCCACGCTGCCGGTGTCCCAGTGCTCCTCTGATGAGCAGAAAGCCAAGGCCAGGCTCCAGTCCCTGCCATGCTCTGCAGGCGCTACTGAGGTGCAGTGCCCCCCTTCCCAGGGAGCGTGGGGTGCAGCGCCCAGTCCCAGCACTGGCTGCCTCGCCAGGGAGGAGAGCCTACGACAACAGACTAGACCAGGGTGTTCACACAGCCAGCCATCTGGAACCACCTTCCCCAGGTGCCCACTCCAGCTCCAGCCCCTGGGGCCTGGTTCCAGGGGACTGAGCACCCACGGCTCCCCGTGCGGCCATCGGGCACGGCACCTGCAGGCCCCAGGCAGCTCGAGTTGGGCTGCTCAAAACAGAGCTGCCAGAGGCTGCTGAAAACATGGCCCAGGGCCTGTACGAGTGTTTGACTCCTCGGACGTAGGCCAGGAGCAGCCGGTGTGTGAGCAAACGCATGGAACAGACACAGCCCACCTGAGCTCCACTGGGGTGTGTGTACACACATGCCCCCATACCTGCACCCTCTGTGCGCACACACATGTGCCCCCGGCCGTGTGTGCGTAGGCTCCTGCCTGCTCCACTGCTGAGCGAGGGAACCAGGAGCAGACAAGGGGAAAGAGGCCAAGTCTGTCTGGGCGGATGGGGTGTGCACTGCGTAGGAGGCAGGCCCTGCTGTCCGCCCCAATGTGGCATTCAAAGGGTCTGAAGGATGAGGAACCGGCTGAGCTTTCAGGGGTCGAGGGCCGATTTCCAGCTGAGCTCACCCGCTGTGTAGCCAGGTCCTGCAGCTGGGGGCATTGGAAAGCCAGGCTGAGCGTGGGGAAGGGAGCCAGCTGAGACTCCCGGCCTGGCTGCGGCCTGGCCTCCTGGGCTGGCCCCAGGCAGTTTCCTTGGGGATAATCTCTAGGAGTTGATAGCCAGGATGGAGCCTTGCTTGAGACAGACAGGCCCTGGCAGCTCTTTTCTGGCTAATGATTGCTCCGGGCTGGTCTGAGCTAACTCCAGCTTTGCGAGGCAGGCTGAGAATGCACTGGGGGGGTCTCTGAGCACCTCTGTCCTATGGCTGCAGGCCCTGGCTTTCCAGGAGCTGCTGCGCCAGAGGAATGTCTCATTGCCCGGGCATCGCAAACTCCCCACTCAGCAATGCAATGGCTCCTGGAGGCTCTTTGCATACTGTTGACACAAGAGCAGCCCTCCCCCTCTCCCCACTCAGCCAGAGCCATGGGGCTGGGCATTCAGAGCTCCCTGGGCTGGCTCCCCGCGCCGGCTCTCTGGCCTGCCGAGCTGCAGCTGCTGCTCTGCAAGGAGCTCGGTGTCTTTGTCCTGCATGCGAGACCCTTGGGATGAGCGCGGGGTTGCTCCAGGCAAGGTGAGGGGCTGCTCGCTCCATGTCCGAGGGGCTCGGAGCTGTGAGGGGCTCGGAGGGCCGAGCTTCGCACTGGCTGACCGCGCAGACCTGAGCCCATCTGCTCACCCATCCCTTGCTCCGCTTTGTGAGCAGTCTCGCTGCCCGCCAGTTCCACCCAGTCCTTTCCCACCGCCTCATGGCAGCAGAGCTCTGGGGCTGGCTTTCTTCTCTGGCCCATTTCTCTGCCTGTCGGGCTGGCCGGTGGGTGACTGGGTTCCTGCTAGCAAATGCAGCTCCTGCAGGCTCTGGTCACGTGTAGCCAGTGTCCCAGGGCACTGGGCTGCAACTGCAACCCCCTTCCCAGAGCCCTTGGGATCATGTCAGCCCTGCTGTCTCGGGGCTGGTGGGCTCTGTGCACCGTCAGCCAGGGTGTCGCTCGGGCAGCGCCTGGACGGCACAGGAGCCTGCTGCAGCCGTCCTGCTCCAAGACTAGCAAGGCCCTGCTGTGGGTTGGGGAGGGATTGGGGCACCCTGGGGCTTTGTGCACTGCACCCTCTGCCTGGCAGGCTGAGCTGCCGCCCGCCTCCTTCACCTGCTGCTGGGGGGGGTCCTGGCTCACCAAGGTGCGGGCAGCCCTGGCCCCTGCACGGGGCTGTTTGTGTGGTCTCAATGCGGCGTCTCTCTCTGATTGGAATCCCAGGCCCCGGGGCGGAAGCGGAAGAACATGAACGAGTTTCTGGGCGATTCCAGCATCCCAGGCCAGGACCCGCTGCAGCACTTCAGCTGCTCCCTGCCCAGCAACGGCATCGATACGTGGAAGAATCGGGCCGCCAGTCGCTTCAGTGGCTTCTTTGGCTCCGGCGCTAGCCCCGGCCCCTTCGGACGGGTACGTCAGCTGCTCGGCACCAAACTCGGGCCTGTCCCTGCTCCGAGGGGCTCTTGGGCTCCCAAATTTCAGCTGTTGACTGGAATTAGGAGCAGCGCCTCCCGCATGGGCTCTGCGGGCTGCCATGGGGGGTTCTTCTCCCAGGAAGGAGTTCCTGGGCGCCAGGTTCTGCAGGGCAGAGCCGTGGGCTGTTGGGGGGATGCCGCTGACCACTCCTGTATCCACGCACTTTGCTGGGCGCTGGGTGAGTTTGGAGCAGGAGGTCAGAGGTTGCTGAAGTTGGCAGGAATGGGCCTAACCCAGGCTTCCTTGCCAGTGTCCAGAGCTGGCGGGATTCTTTGGCTGCTCTCAGCCCAGCTAAGGAGACTTGTGCAGAGCGGGAGCTGCCTGGCTTTGGAAAGGGGGTGGAGTGGGGTCCAGAGCCCACCAGGAACTGCTCTGAGAGCTCGCTACTGCTGAGCTGGGGCAGAGCTGGGGAGGGAGTGGCTCCCCGTGCCCTTTGTCCTCTCTGGGGCCTTCAGCCCCAGGGCTGGATTGAGGAGGCTCCCGCAGGTGCCCACTGTGAGTCCCTCAGGCCTTCTGCAGGGGCCTGGGGCTCCTTGACGAGCGTCCTGGCACGCGGCCCAGTAACGGCCAAGGGCCGGGAATCCCTGCGCAGCGTGCTGCCCGCTAGCCTCCGTTCCCGCCTGGCCCGGCGGGTGCTGTGCTGGTGCAGGCTCTCAGCCCCTCGGGGGGACGGATTCTCTGAGCGGGACGCCGGGGCTGTGAGCTCCTGAGCGGGCAGCGCTGGCAATGGGAGAGGGACCCTTCGATTGGAAGAAACCCCCTCGCCCACCGTGCCCACCGCTGTGCTCCTGTCCGCTAGGAGCTGGACAAGATGGAGCAGCTGGAGAGCAAGCTACACAGCTATGGCATCTTCGGCCTCCCCAAGCTCCCCCAGCAGCTGCGCTTCGACCAGGACTCCTGGGAGGAAGAGGAGGATGACGCCAGCCTGTGCCTGGAAGACAGCTGGCAGGAGATCACCGAGGGCACGGAGGTAATGCTGGGCCTGTGGGGAGGGGGCTCTGCCTGGTGCAGAACATCCCAGCTGGGGGCCTGGGGTGAGATTTCCCAGAGCAGCTCTCATACAGCCACACTGCTCCTCTTACCCCCCATGCCCCCCATGGGCTGCTGGCCGGAGCCCACTGCTCCTCTTACCCCCCACACCCCCCATGGGCTGCTGGCCGGGGCCCACTGCTCTTCTTACCCCCCATGGGCTGTTGGCCGGGGCCCACTGCTCCTCTTACCCCCCACACCCCCCATGGGCTGCTGGCCGGGGCCCACTGCTCCTATACACTCCCAGGTGGCCAGGCAGTGGGGGGCTGGATCTCCCCCCAAACACATTTCAGGGCCTTGGCCTCTTTCCCCCATCTGGGATGTTGCCCTGTGGGACTGGGAGTCCGCTGGGCCCATGAGACGAGGCCTCTCCTTGCATCCTGGCTGCTCGTGCGCGGGAGACGATTGCAGGCCAGAGGCTTGCTCCCTGTCCGTCCTGCTCTCGGTGGGAACATCGCACTGTGTCGAGGGGTCTCAGCACCCCAGCCCCCACAGCCCCATGGCGCTGACCCTTCTGCCCTTCTCCAGGCCCTGACGCGCCGGCAGTGCCACCAGCAGGAGGCCATCTGGGAGCTGCTGCACACAGAAGCCACCTACATCCGGAAGCTGAAAGTGATCACAGACGTGAGTCTGCCCTGCCCGCCCCGGGGTCCTGGGAACGGGCAGAGCCAGGCTCCTGCCAGGCCCTTGTGGGGGGCACGACGGGTGTCAGGCCAGTGACTCCTGGAGGGCAGGAGACTGCGACGTGCCCTTCCGGGGCAGAGGGCTGAGCCAGGGCAGTTAGTTTATTCAGTGCGCTGCGCTCACCAGTGCAGCATCTGAGAGCCCCTGGCTGGCTGGTGCTGAGCCGTGCCCGGCTGTCGGCTTGCAGCCAGAGCTGGGCTGGGTCTGACTGGCGTCCGTCACGGCCTGCGCGCCATGCAGCCTCCGGCCCCCAGTGGGGAGGGACGCCCTGGTGGGGCACGGGCGTGCGCGGAGGGAGGGTCGGGCGTGCACGCTCTGCACTGCCTGCTCTCTGCTCTTTTTCAGCTCTTCCTCTGCTGCCTGCTGAACCTGCAGGAGTCGGGGCTGCTGTGTGAGGTAAGGGCCCAGCTACCCGCGGGGCTGGGGGGCGGCAAGTCCATCAGCGCCTGCAGGGTCCTCGCAGGCATAAGCCAGCCCCAGCCTCTGCCCCTCCCTCTGGGCCAGTGAGGGCCCCCGGGCGGCGGGAGGAGCTCCCCGGGCGGCCCTGCCCCATGATGAGAGGAGCTCCCTGGGCGGCCCCACCCTGCTGTTGGACTGGGGCTGAGCCCTAGGGTGGAAGGGAGGATGGGAGGCTCTCAGGGCTGCAGCAGAGACACGGGGACCCCCCTGCCCGTTAATGGGAGGAATGGGCCCTCTGGACCCTGAACCAGCAGCTTTGCTCGAGCTAATGGACAGTCCTGGAGCTGCGCTTGTCGCCTGGCCTCACACCCACCGCGGGGCGCGTGGCGACGGCGTGCCCAGCGCCTTGTGCAGCGAGCCCGTCTCTGCTTGGCAGGGCAATGCGGGCTGTGCTGCTCTGAGCAGCCGTCTCACCCTCTGGGTCAGGGGATCCCAGTGCTGACACGGGGATCCCAGCGCCACTGTCTGGCAAACCCTGCCTCTGCGGCCAGGGCATCCCCAGAGCCCCACTGCACCCCTTGCTGTGCTTGCAGGTGGAAGCTGAGCGTCTGTTCAGCAACATCCAGGAGATTATCCAGCTGCACCGGGCCTTGTGGAGCAGCGTCATGGCCCCCGTCCTGGAGAAGGCCAGGAAGACCAAGGCGTTGCTGGACCCTGTGGACTTCCTAAAGGCATTCAAAATGGTGGGTGTGAGAGCCCAGGTGCCGCTCGCTCTGCCACGGCTGCGCCTGGCGGGGAGACGCGCTGGGCTCTGACTGGCCCTCTGGCTTGCCTTGCAGTTTGGCTCCCTCTTCAAGCCCTACGTCCAGTACTGCATGGAGGAGGAGGGCTGCATGGAGTACATGCGCACGCTGCTGCGGGACAACGACCTCTTCCGGCTCTACGTGACGGTAAGGGCTGGAGCCAGGCGCACGCGTCGTGGCGAGACCAGGCCGCCCCCGAGTCGCTAACCCACCCGTGTCTCTGCTTCCAGTGGGCAGAGAAGCACAAGCAGTGCAACCGCCTGAAGCTCAGCGACATGCTGGTGAAGCCGCACCAGCGCCTCACCAAGTACCCGCTGCTGCTCAAGTCGGTGCTGAAGAAAACGGACGACCCTTGCACCCGGGACGCCATCGTCACCATGGTAACCTGCCAGGGAGCGCGGGTGGATGGGCCATGCCTCCCCGGCCAAGTCAGCGGCAGAGGGCATGCAGCCTGTGTCACTGCCGTGCCCTGGTGCTGGCAGCGGGCTCCCATGTGCCCTTTCGCCAGGGCCGGGGTGGACGCTGCACAACGTGTGAATTTGCCCAAGCAGCCGGGTCCCCATTCTGCAGCCAGGGTCGTCCAGACTCTGCCTCCTGCCTCCGCAGGGCTCCTCGTCACACCTGCTGGACCAGGGCATGGGGCACAGGGCATGGGGCAGGGCTCCTCGTCACCCCTGCTGCGCCAGGGGCTTCCAGCCACCAGTTTCCCCTGTGCGCCTCTGACCGTTCCCCTTGTGACAGATCAATTCCGTGGAGCGGTTTATCAACCATGTGAACTCGCGGATGCGCCAGCGGCAGGAGCAGCAGAGGCTGGTGGCCATCCTCAGCCGGATTGACTCCTACGAAGTGGTGGACAGCAGCACGGAGGAGGTGGATAAGGTATGGGCTGTGTGGGCAGGGGGCGTGCGGGCCGGGCTGGCCCCTGCCCCACACCCTCTGACTGCGTCCTTTCTCTCTTGCTGGCAGCTCCTGAAGGAGTTCCTGCACCTGGACCTGACGGCCCCCATCCCAGGCACCTCCCCTGAGGACACGCGGCAGCTCCTCCTGGAGGGGAGCTTGAAAATGAAGGAAGGTAAAGACAGCAAGGTGAGCAGTGCAGCCTGAGCGGAGCTCCCAAGCAGCCCCTGGGACCGGCCTGGCAATTCCCTCAGCCAGGGCTTCCTTTGCCTGATGAGCTGGGGGCGGGGCGGGGGGCAGCAGGTGTCCGTCCTCGCCTCGCAGCCTGCCCTGGCTCTGCTCGCGTCCCTGCCCGGGAGCAGGCTGGCCCTGGGAACCGCCCTTTGTGGGCATGGCTTGGTAACAGGACTCCCGGCGTCTCCCCTGCCCCGGCGCCTGGCTGCTCGGCAGGATCCCATGGGCCCTGTGCTTTCGCCCTCCCCAGATGGACGTTTACTGCTTCCTCTTCACGGACCTGTTCCTCATCACCAAGCCGGTGAAGAAGGCCGAGCGCACCAAGGTCATCCGGCAGCCCCTGCTTGTGGACAAGATCATCTGCCGGGAGCTCAAGGACCCCGGTGAGCACGCCGGGCTGGGATCCGAGAGCTGGGCATTGGCTGTGCAAAGCCCCTGGGCTCCTCTCCTCAGAGCCTGCCCCACGGCCCCTCCTCTCCCCTAGCCCTTCGCAGCTGGAGGAGCTTCCTCTCTCTATCCTTCCCCTGCCCTGAATCTCGCTCCCAGCTGGCAGACTGAGGCGGCCAAGGCACAGGGCTCTCCCTGCGTCCCTACAGGGACTGACCCCCAAGTGCTCCCAGCCCCAGGGCCTCTGTGGCACCCACAGTGTGGGGAGCAAATGGCTCAGCTCCTGCCCTTCGTGTCCGGGATGTTACAGGCTGGGGGTCACCGGATGGGACAGCCACCCTCCTTCTCAGGGGAATCACCCAGGGTTTCCCTCAGCACCATTTGCCTCCACCTCTGCGCCCTGCCCTCCTGCAGTGTGACAGCACCGACGCCCCGGGGGCTCTGGCGCCGACAGATGCTGCAGCGTGATTTGTCCCTGGGCACTAGGCCTCTTCTGACTACGCATGGCCGAGCCCTGAGCCCCTACTCACTCTGCAGCTCAGGTGCCACCCCAGCCTTGTCTGGAGAGCTGGCGTGTCTCCTTGCTTCCCTGCGCTGGACACTCACCATGTCTGCGGGAACTCGCCCGGGCTGGTGGGAGGTGCTTTTGCTCATGTTTGGTCCCCCTTGCAGGCTCCTTCCTCCTGATCTATCTCAACGAGCTTCGCAGCGCCGTGGGAGCCTACACCTTCCAGGCCAGCGGGCAGTCCCTGTGCCGCGGCTGGATCGAGGCACTGTACAATGCACAGGTGAGTCTGGAGCAAACAGGCCTTGGGATCCAGTGTCTGCGCTGAGCCACTGCAGTATGCCTGACCTGAGAGGCTGTAGGCGTTTCATCTGGTGCAGGCACCAGCGTGGGGTTTCCAACAGCAGCTCGGCGCACGTGCCCTTCTCTGAGATGGGGCCAGACAAAGGCCTGCCCTGTGCAGAGCTGCAGAGCGACTGGGTGCACACGGGACACAGGCAGCCCGACCACCGCCAAGGTGTCACCTCTCTGCCCCCAGGGTGACATCGTCCCCAGGAGCATTCGAAGCGCCGTCACTCCCGGGCGTCCATTATCTCGCTGTAATCTCACCGCTAGGATCAGTGCCACATGTTGTCATGCCCTGCAGGGAATCTCCCTTCCCCACCCCGGGGCTGCCAATGGCAGTGCTGCGTCTCTGCTCTTCAGCCCGCAGACCCGTGTGCGCGAGGGCAGCATGTCTCAGGCTGTGTGCATGCTGCAGGGAACCGGGCCCACTGCCAGGGCAGTGCCAGGTGCACACACAGCCCCTGATCTGGTCTGGGATGGGGATCGGCGCCCCATCTGGGAGCTGTCCTGTTCTGACAGCTGTGGGTTGGGGACGGCCATGTTCTCCTGTTCCTAAGCTGTGTCCTGCCCCTTCCCCACAGAACCTCCTGCAGCGGCTGCGTCTCCAGGAGCGGCAGCGTAGCCAGCGGCAGCATCTGCAGAGCCTGGAGGAGGGAGAGGATGGGGAGAGCGGGGCCTCGGCAGCCAGCTCGCCCACCATCCTGCGCAGGAGCAGCAACAGTCTGGACTCCCAGCAATGGTACAACACCCCCCCCCCCGGACTCACGGGCCGCTCGCAGTGCGGGACAGGGGAGACTGTCCAGCCGGCAGATGCAGCGTGCCAGGCGCTGTACGGCCCTGCAGGAGAAGCCTGGCACCTCGTGCCATCATGGCTCCAAGCACTCACCATGCCCAATGCTGGCCGCTCCCCTCGCCCCTGCCCTGCTCCAGCGTGCCCCAGCCTGGTGCCAGCCGTCCCTCCCAGCCCCCAGCCCTGGCTGACTCTTCCCTTGCTCTTGCAGCCCCTCCGATGGCTCCACGGAGACTATCTCGGTGGTGGTGGTGGATGCCAGCGAGGAGCTCTCCTTCCCGGACTTGGAAGTGGGGCCATTCAGCTCGCAGTCGGACGAGACCTCCATCAGCACTACCGCTTCGTCCACCACCCCCACCCGGGAGCTGCTGGAGGGGGGCGGGGAGCTTGCAGAGACACACACCCCCCCCAGCTCCAATTGCCTGACGCTGGATTCCAGCGGCTGCAGATCGGCGTCCATCGACAGCGCCTACGGCACCCTCTCCCCCACCTCCATCCAGGAGTTTGCTGAGGTGCAGCAGCTGGAGCCAGGGGTGGAGGATGGGGGGCCCCCGCACTCGCAGCGTGCCCCCTCGCCCAAGCTGCGCCGCAGGACGCCCGTGCAGCTCCTGCCCTGCAAGGTGAAAGCGCTCAAGTCCAAGTCGGAGGCCAGCCTGCTGCAGCTGATCCCAGCCTCGCCCCCTCTCGCCCAGAGCAAGAGCCTCTGCGACCTCTTCACGGCTCCGGGCCAGGCCACGTTCCTGGCAGGCCCCAGCCAAGGACTTGCACGGCGCGAGGTCCCGGCTGGCTTCCAGAGGACTAGCAGGGCGGGTGCCGGGAGCGGGGAAGCCCGGTCAGACGGCAGTAGCCGCGGCCTGAGCATCTGCAGCAGCAGCAGCGGCTCCTCGTCAGAGCTCTCCGAGCCCGAGGAGCTGATGTGTGCCGAGGGCTTTGCTTACCCAGCCGAGAGCAACGTGACGGCCCCTGCTGCGCCTGGGCAGGAAGTTCCCCCAGCAGGGCCTGAGGGGGCATCTGCCCCGTGCCAGGCTCCCAGCACCGCCGTGACCGAGCCCCTTGCCCACCGGACACTGTCAGACCCGCAGGCGGCCCAGCACCGCAAGCTGACGCTGGCTCAGCTGTACAGGATCAGGACCACCTTGCTCCTCAACTCCACGCTGACCGCCTCGTAAGTGTCACGGGGTCGCTCAGGCTAGCCAGGGCGGGTGCGTGGGGGGAGCCACGGGCCTCCTTGCGCAGTCACAAGGACGTTTCCCCTCTCTCAGCCGGGCTGCAGCCAGCTGGCGCCAGCAGCCCAGGGGCTGGGCCGCTGCAGATCTCCCTCAGCCACGTGGCAGGGCACGGGCGTGGGGCAAAGTCCGGGTTTTCCCATCAATCTCCTTCCCTGAGTGGCAGCCCCATGGCTCAGCGTGTCTAAGATCAGCTCCCTGCGGTGAGCGGGAGGTGCCCTGGGCTGTGAGCAGCCGGCTAAGAGCGCCTCTGTCTGTCTGCCTGTCTCTTGCAGGGAGGTCTGAGAGCTGCAGGAGGCTCCAGGAGAGGAGCAGTGCTGCCAGTTCCGCCAACCCCTGACGATGGAGCACGAGCGCCCAGGGCCCTGGGAGATGTTAGGCCCCGAAAGCAGCGGCCAGCAGCGTGTCAAGGCTGCGTGTGGGTGGGAGAGAGACAGGGCGTAGGCGTGTGGACAGAGGGACGGGGGGTGCATGTGCCGGTGCATGTCTCTGTGGGGAATGTGCGCATGTGCCTGTGTAGGGGGGGAGTCTGTGTGTGGGGGGGAGTGTGTGCGCGTGTGGGGAGTGTGTGTGCATGAGCGTGTGGGGCATGTGTGCGCGTCTGTGGGAGTTTGTGCGTGTACGTGTGGGGCGTGCGTGTGGGGCGTGTGTGCGCATCTGTGGGAGTTTGTGCATGTACATGTGGGGCGTGCGTGTGTGTCTGTGGGAGTTTGTGTGTGTGCGTGTGGGGAGTGTGTGTGCATGAGTGTGTGGGGCATGCGTGTGTCTGTGGGAGTTTGTGCATGTGCGTCTGTGGGAGTGTGTGTGTGGGGCGTGTGTGCGCGTCTGTGGGACGTGTGTGCATGTGGGACGTGTGTGCGTGTGGGGCGTGCATGTGCATCTGTGGGAGTGTGGCTGCGCGTGGGACAGACTCCAGGGAGCCGTGGCCTGGGTTCCTCGTGGAAGGGGGCTGCGCTGGTGCTGGCCCGGGAGCCTGTCCTAGGCCGGGGTGGGCCCGGAGCTGCGTGAATCCCGGGAGCCGCTGCATTGGAGCCCCTGCAGCTGCGCCTGAGAACTCTGGAGCTGAGGCCGGGCCGAGGGCGCCCCCTACAGGACCTGTTTCTCAGCTGTCAGTCGCTGTAGCAGAGCCCCGGAGTTGGGGCTGCCGGCCTGGGCGGTGCTCGGAGAGTTCCTGACAGTCAGTGAGCAGTAGGGTGACCAGACAGCAAGTGTGAAAAATCAGGATGGGGGTGGGAGGGTAATAGGAGCCTATATATGAAAAAGACCCAAAAATCGGGACTGTCCCTATAAAATCGGGACATCTGGTCACCTTAGTGAGGAGTGACCAAATGCTGCCACCTTGTCCTTGGAGAGCCCTGGTCCAGAGGGCTCTGCTGGGCTTCTGAACTTGCCCATCCTGCCGCAGGCCTGCTGACAACCCCCCTCCCCAGGGTCCGGCAGCGCAGGCTGGGGCTTGGGAGCTGGGTGTGACTGCAGCCTTCCATGCACCGCTGGCCTGTTGCAGTGGGGGAGACACACAAGCCTGCGTCCCATGCTGCCACATTGCATCAGGTTAAGCAAAAGCCAAAACACTGCAGCAAAGACCAGGGCCTCCCGCCTGGCTGGGACCCCATTGTCGAGCTTCCCTGTGAACCGTCTGTGCAGTGAACTGTCTGTCGCAAGGGCTGCAGGGTGACCCCAGGCCCAGGCGAAGGAGCAGGGGGTTCTGAATGCACTTTAGTTGCGGTAAGCTGCATTTCCTGCAGCGGGGCACAGCACCAGTGCAGCCAGAAGGAAAGGGTCAGAGGGGAATAGCCAGAGCTTTTCCCTTTCCCCTAAGCTCACATGCCATTGCCGGTCTGCGGCCTGGCCGCCCTGGGAGCTCTCCCGAGGATGGCAGCTGTGTCCTGAAGGGGGTTGTGCTGCAGGAGCCAGGAGCAAAAGCCCCTTTAAATTCCATCCCCGGTGACCGTCCCACGAGAACGCGAGCGCTCGCACTGCAGCAAAGAGCTAGACCAGGGCAGCCCCTGCCCACCGCCAGCCACCACGGCTGCTCGGTCGGCTCCCTGCTGGGGTGAGTTGCTTCTCCCTGCTTGACCAAAGCCCCCCAGATGTGGTTTTCCCCTGAGGCTAACGCCCCGGGGGGCGGCGTTGTTACCGAGGCAGTGGGCTGGGTGACTCAGGCACTGGCACCAGGAAGTTGCGATGGGCTTACTGAGGAAGGGATTGAAATGTTGCAGTGGGTGAAGAGGGACGAGGGCTACAGTGAGAGGCACGGGCAACGGGGCGCTACCATGGACGCTGCGCCCCGCTGGCCATGGGCGTGGCAAGGTGGCAGGGGCTAGGAAGGCGGGGGAGGCCGGGGAGCAGGGGTGATGTCAGACTGGGGAGGGGCCTGGCTGGATGCATCAGCTCCCAGCTCCAGCTGCCTGCTCCCAGCCTCGCCTTTCGGGGGGAAGGAAAGGCTGGGAGCAGCCTGGGGGCTGGGCCGCAGGGTCCCGCTCCTGCTGGCTGCCCAGCTCGGCTGAGGGTGCGCTGCTGCTGCAGGGGTGGGGCTCCCCACATCCTGGGGGGCTGGGTCCTCCGAGCAGCCTGCGGCAAGCAGGAAGGGCTGTGTATGGGGTGGCTAGCTTGGAGGTGTGGGGAGAGACCAAAGGAGCCTGTGGGGAACGGGGGGCCCCGGAGGGCCCTGTGCTGAATAGTGTTCCCGCGGGTGGGAAGGGAGCGTTGGACCTGGCCAGTGCACACAGTGCTGGGGAGGGGGCATTGCCATGGGGGCCTTGCGTAGGCCTCACTCAGACCCCGCCTCGGGGCGCCGCTTTGGCCCCCAGAGCTGGTCTCTGGAGCGGCAGCAGGAGGCTTGTGCAGCGAGCGCTCACCCAGCTCTTTCCCCAACGCTTCCCATGCAGCCCAGGGAGGGGGACCACTTCTCCTTCCTGGCTGGGCTCCCTGCGGCTGGGGCCAGGACTGCCTGGATGGCAGCGGGCAGGGCACTGCTGGCTCGCTGGAGTTCGTTACACTTGGCTGCCAGCAGGCAGTGGAGGCTGCCGCAGAACGGCAGCAGAGAGTGGGAAGGGACCTGGGGCTGGGTGGCAGATTGCTCTCCCGTCTGTCCCAGCCCCTGGGCACGCGCGCTCACCCCTGGATGTGTGTAGATAAAGTTGCATATTTATTAAGCTTGGTGTTAATTTTCTGAAGCTGCGTCCTGGCTGGCCTGCGGCAGGGAACAGCGCTGCCTCCTTTTCCGGCTGTCCTGGGGGGTGCAGGGCAGGAGTCCTCTCTTGGCTCTGGGGCTAGTCCGTCTTGTGCGTTGAACATTATCCCTGCGCTGGGCCATTCCCACCGCCGCAGCCTCCCGGGCGAAGCATTAAAGACCGTGCGTGTGCGCTCAGTCGTCGTGTGTCCTTTAACAAGGGTGGGGGTGCGTTGGGAGCTGGCAGTTACTCGGTCCCTGGGCTTCCGGGGGCTCAGGTGAGTTGGGGCCATGCAAAGCACTACACTGCCCCAGTCCAGCTCAGAGCGGCCATCCTGGCCCCCTAGGAAACCAGAGCAGCCATTGCATGTGCCTTTCAGCCCTGCCCCTCACACGGGGTGAGGTGCAGTCTTGTGCCAGCCCCGTACCCTCTGTGAGAAGGGGTCTCGGCATGGCTAGAATCCAGCCCCTGCTATTTCGGGCACGCCGGCTCCAGAGCACCAGGCATTGCGCTTCCTGGGTCCAGTGCGGGCTGGGAGGTGGCAGACCGGGGGTTAAGCACCATGGGGCAGGCAGGCAGCTGGGGGGTCCAGTTCCAGCCATTCTTCCATGAGCTTTTGTGCTTTTCCCTGGTGCTAGGCCCCAGGAGCAGAAACTGGGGTGGGGCGGCTTGTAGGTAGTAGCAGCTTGGCCTGTGATGCTGGGGGTCAGCCTGGCTCACCTGCTGTGGGAGAAAGCCCCTCACTGCTCTGCTCCCAGGTGCCAGCCTCAGGTGTGGTTTGACTTCTATACTTGGGGTGGGGGCAGCAGCACCAGCCAGGCCAACTGGGCCGTGCGTGTGGGGGGGATTCCAGCCTGCCCAAGGCTTGCAGTGAGGGAGGGGCAATGCCCCTGCCCCCCAAACTACACCCATGGTGCCAGTGTCCATGGCAAGAGGCTAGGGGTGAACGCTTGGCTGCTTCTCTACAGTCCGCATGGGAGCCCAGGGCCAGGGCTCTGGGCTGACGGACTAGGAGACGAGGCAGGCTGATAAAACTGCCGGGTCCTTTGGTAGAGTCTCCCCTTCCCTGGCTCCGTGGCAGCACGAGCCCCTTGCCGGGGCAGTGGCAGGGCAGCTGTGGTTGTGCTGGCCTGGGGGGCTTAATGGCTTCCTGGGAAAGCTCCCAGCCCTCATGTGAGGCCCCATCCCCCACCTGAAAATTGGTGTTTCAGCTCAACCCCTTTGTGACATGTTCCTCCATTCCGCAGAAAGCGCCAAGTTTCCAGCCAAAAATGGGTCCCGGAGCCCTCCCCGGCCATCGCTGGTGAGGGCAGGCAGGCAGAGGCTGGCGTGCTAGCACCCGGGCCAGGCCTTGGAGAGCAAAGCCGCAGGTGGGAGATGGCTGGGCCCTGGCCCCACCTCGGGTTGGGGCGCAGGGAGCCAGGGGGAGGGTCTTGGCCAGGGCTGCAGGCTGGAGCCCTGGGCTGAGGGGTAGCGTTTGGGTGCATTCGCTGCCCGCTGCTGGGGACGGAGCTGCCCCTTCACAGCCCCAAGGGGAGGTGTCCGTAGGCGCTCTGGGAATCGTGTGGGTGCTGGGGCCGGCTGGGCTGCGCCTGCCCTAGAGCTCAGATGGCAGCTGGGCGCTTTGGGCTGTGAGATGTTTAGCTGCCACCTGGCAGCGCTTGTCCTGGCGAGGCGGGCTGCAGGAGAGCCCCAGGCCGGCCCCGCTGGGTCAAGGCTCTGGGCCTGGGACTCACCTGCTGTGGGACATGTTGGAGGAGGCTGGCTCCTGGCAGGAGCACCAGCCCTCTGCAGCAGTGCGCCCCTCACCCCGCCCGACTGCTTCCATGCCAGCGAGGCCCCTCCCCGCGCTCGCGCCGCCCTCGGCGGCTGTCGTGGTTTCACACCCCCTGGACTCATTTCCAGAAATGGATTTCCTCCCACAAGGGCTTAAGTGTAAAAGCCTCAGCTGAGCGGGTTTGAGCTCACTCGTCGCCAGGGGGTTACTGAGAGCATGGATTAGCTGCTGCCTCGCTCCGCCGCTGGGCTGGGACCAGCTCCCGCGAGTAACCCCCGTCCCCTGCCCGGAATGAGCTGGGTCTCTAGGGCTCGAGGATGGGGAGCTGGGCCCTGAAGGTGGCTGGGGTAAGTCCTGCTCACGCCGGGATGTTCCTCACTTGCTCTAGAGTGAAAGAGGAAGCAGCCAGGGCTGGTGCAGACTTGCTCTGGGGAGCTGGGGGGAAGTAGGAGCGGCCAGGAGACCTGGCTGGGGATGAGGGCCAGCTCTCTGCATTGGTTCGTTTGTTGCCTACAGGCCAGCATCTGGTTTCTCGGGCTGAGCTGCTGTTTGGTAGTGTAGGGCTGAGGGGCCCAGTCAGTGGACTCCTGATGCCCCCATGAGCCCTTGGCAAGTTTACAGGAAAACAGCTGAATTCAGTGATGCAGGCATCGCTTTAGAGCCCCAGGGGCTTTCCAGGAAAGGGGAGACGGGAGGAGAGAAAATGAAAGTGTGGGGGAGCCACCCACAGTTAACAATAATCGTACGTTCATTCATGCCAAGGGCCCTGGAGATCTTTACAAACTAGGATCACTTCCCCAACCCTAAAATGCAGCCACCTCTGGGCTGCAATGTGACAGCATTTGAACAGTGCACAAGTACCCCGAGCCACCCAGCAGAGAAAGCAATGCCTGCTGTACTGTGTCGGGCTGAACAAACTCTTGGCGGCAGGCGCCGTGTCTCCACCCCACAGCACCCAGCCCATCCTGCCCCGGCCGCTGAGTGCCATCACGGTTCACATGAGCAATAATGCGACGGTTGGAGCTATTGAGGTCACGGGCTGGGGTGTTTCGTGGGCAGCCCTGCTGCTGTTGTCAGAGTCCACGGGCTGAGTCCTGTGTTTACTGCCGAAGAAAGGGGGCTGTGCTCGGAGGGGCGCTGTCTGTCCTGGGCTCCTGGTGGAGTCCTGCATCCTGCTGCAAGCAGGGTTCACACTCGACGAGAACCAGCAGGCTGGCTCGGCAGGACGCTGGGGTTTAGTGCCTTACATCCCTTGGCATCCTCACCAGGGGGCTGGACCACCTCTGGCCCGCAGGCACGAGAGGCCCTCAAGTGTCCAACTCAAAGGTCACTTTAGAGCAAGCTACGGTGGGGTGGGACCGGGGTCACCTGGTGCAGGGGGCTGTGCTCCGCCTGGCTTGGGTGCCATGTGTCTGTGGAGCCGGGGGGCCGCTCAGTGCTCACTTGCCTGGGGCTGGGGAGGGAAGCAGCTGGCTGCCTGAGTGTCGGAGCCGCCTAGGAACGTGGCTGGGGGCTGCTCACTTCCCAGGGCGCTTCTGACTCCAGCTTCTGCTTGGGCAATAGGGCCTGGGACCACCAGTGGCGTTTCCTGGCCTGGAGCCCCTCCCTGCTTGTTCCCGCAGCCAGCCCTCTGTGCACTGGGCCCACATTCGCTAGTGCTGGGGGTACAGAAAGGCAGTGACTTCAGCCCCTGCTACCAGCCTGGAAGGGCTGTGCTCGGGGCAGGATGCTCCAGGCCCCTTCCATGGGCGCCGCTCCCCACCTCTGCCCAGCCCTGCTCCAGCCCTGTTGCTTTCCTGCCTCCCTGCTGGGCCTGCCCAGCTCCCCTCTCCACAGCTCTGCCCCATGGGAACGGGGAGAAGAGCAGGAGCCCGTCCCTCGACCAGTCTCTGACAGACAGGTGGCTGACTAGGCCCCAGCTTGGCTCATTCATAGACACGTGCTGGCACCCTGTGGGGCAACGCACGGGCTGGTCTCGCCAGGCCAAGGCCAGTTGCATCTGGCCGTAAATGCTCCATCATGCACCAGCTCATCAGGGAGGCTGAGGAGAGAGGGTCCCCGTCCTCTCAGCCCTGAATCACAGAATCTCAGGGTTGGAAGGGACCTCAGGAGGTATCTAGTCCAAGCCCCTGCTCAACGCAGGACCAATCCCCAACTAAATCATCCCAGCCAGGGCTTTATCAATCTGGGCCTTAAAAACCTCTGAGGAAGGAGATTCCACCACCTCCCTAGGTAACCCATTCCAGTGCTTCACCACCCTCCGAGTGAAAAAGTTTTTCCTAATATCCAACCTAGACCTCCCCCACTGCAACTTGAGACCATTGCTCCTTGTTCTGTCATCTGGTACCACTGAGAACATCCAAGCTCCATCCTCTTTGGAATCCCCCTTCAGGTAGTAGAAGGCTGCTATCAAACTGGAGGGCAGAGCGGGGGGCACTCGGCTGGGAGGGGCGTGGGGGGCCTTGGGCTGCCACTGCCTGTGTTGGGGTGAGAGCTCAGGCTGGGTCTCTCTGCTGGAAATTCACTTGAGCAGCACCTTGGGGTGACCGAGTGTGGAGTGCGAGGGGGTGACAAGGGCTAAGGGGAGGGACCGTGCAGCCACGGGGGGGGCAGGTGTAAGCCTGTGGCGGCAAGGGAGCGTGGCCCTGGCACGTGGCGTGGGGCTCCCGGTGTGTGAGATGGATGCAGCTGGCTGGGGCAGCGGGCCCGGCCCCATCCCTCACCGAGCAGGCACATGGCATGTTCCCCAGCGGGGAAACACGAAGGCAGTGGGAGCTGCCTGGGGAAAGATCACACCTCGACTCAGCAAGGCACCACTGACTCAGCGAGGGGGGCGGGAGGAGGGGCCCAGGCCTCCTTCCAAGGCTTCCGGCGCCAGCCACGATCTGATCATGGAGCTATGCAAATGGGCGAGTTCATGGGCAGGTTCCAGCACAGCTGTGACAGATTTAAGAGAAAATGATGCAGCTCTTTAATCGGGGCTATCTTCACCGGGAACTCCACCCACGGGCCAGAATCTCCAGGAATCCGCACCCACGTGGCGGGGCCGGCAGGGGCCAGCCTGGCCCAGCAGCCCCTTTGGGGAGTGGCCAAGGGCCTTTCTGGGGATAAGGGCGTCCCCTGCCATGGCACGGGGCTGGGGGGCCAGGCTCAGCACGTGGGCGAGGGAGAGCAGGTGCACAGGGGTTTGGCGCTGGCCCGCCTGGTGCTGCGGGAGCTGGGTGCATGGGCGGGGAGGGCCAGCGGGGCCTGTGCTCAGCTGCCATCTCCAGGTGCTGGGAGGGCAGCAAGCAGGGTCTGTTACATCCTTGCGCCAGGCCCGGGGCAGGACAGCCCCTGGGCACCGGGGCCAGGGACGGACCCAGCGGCAGCAAGGCACTAGCAGGGTGTGTGCGGGTGGAGAAGTGGAGGGAACTGCCCCCTCCCCAGCCATCTGGCCTGAGGGCCTGGGCCGCCAGCCCCTCCCAGCTGTTCCATGCCTGTGGCGCCCCTGCCCAGTGTGACAACACCCCATGTACCAGGCTCTGCGAGGTGGGCGTGTGGCCTTCGCCTAGGGGAGGGCTCCCTCCTACCCGGGGCCAGGGGCCGGGGTTGCAGGCGGGGTTGCGGCCTGGCCGGCAGGCTGGGCATGCAGCTGAGGGGGAAGGGAGCCAGTGCTAGAGCCCATGGGCTGGCCCCACACCCAGCGCCGGAGTGTGGGCTGGCTGCCCCGCCGGAACCACTCAGGGAGCTGGGGCAGCACGGTGGAGCTGGCTCGTATGGGGGTGTTGCCATCTGTAGTGCCTGGAGCCCCCTCCTTTCTGCCCCCCCCCGGTCAGGGCCCCACGCCAGGCACTGTACATGCAGCACCAAGCCTCTGCCCCGACGCGCTCGCACTGAGGGCTTGGTGACAGTCATCTCTTGGGGGGGGGGGCAGGCCCTGAGCCGCAGTGCGGCCCCTGGGCACTAACCACTGAGCAGTACCAGGCCCTGGTGCCCCGCGGAGGGGCCAGCCCAGCCCAGTGGCCATGTCGCTGCGGGGCTGTCGGGGTGTGGTGCTCCCCGCTTCAGCCTGGCCCGGCGGCTCCGGAGATGGCTGTGCAGTGCTGACCTACTTGGGCGGCACGTACTCGCTGCGATACCATCAGAGGCGAGGGGGAGCTGGGCCCGGCTTCCTCTAAGGGAGGAAATCACCTCAGCACCAAGGCAGAGATTACACAGGAGACTGACATTAACTGTCTGTGGCCCAGCCCGCCCCAGCGCGGCCCCCTCCCCCGGCTGTGGTCTCAGCGTAACCCAGCAGAGCAGCTCTGGGGCAGGGGCTGGGTCCAGTGGGGCAGGGAAAGGCGAGGCAAGGAGCCCCGAGTGCCCCAGCCTGTTGGCACAGCGGGTGACACAATCATGTCCCATGGGAGGTCCTGGGCTCTCCCTGCTGCCAGCCCTGAAGGCAAGTGGCAAGACCGACGGGGTGACCGTGGAAGTGGCCGTGTGGAGGGGGCTGGGCCGCCCCATGCTATCCCACAATGCCAGGCACACGCGTGGGCTGGCGCTGTCACTCCCGCTCAGTGTCCCATGCCAGCCATTGAGCTCAGAGCTGCAGAGGCCCCCTTTCCCCAAAGCGGCCCCCATACCTCACCCGCCCAGGGGGGACGGGGAAATCACTGGCAGCACGAGACCCCCCCAGGTCCCTCTACAGCCCCTGAGCTGAACAGCCAGGAGCAGCCCCAGTGGCTCAGGGAGGTGGAGCTGCGTCAGCGAGGAGATGGTGCCGTGGGGGGACAGTCAGTGCCAGCGGGTCAGGGCCCTGGGGAGAGGCAAAGCCTGCCCCTGGTGGGGCACTTAGTGCTGCTGGGGCAGGACCTGACCATGATGCTACCCAGGGCAGCAGCACACACATCCCCGCCCTGTCCTGGGAGGGTGAGGGGGGCCACGGCGGGGCTTTGCTTGTGGCTGCGTGGTGCACACTGGGCATAGGTGAGAGCAGCCTGGAAGCCCCAGAAGCTGCCCATGGTGTCACAGGGGTGGGGGCCTGGGCCCCATCCTGCATGGCACCACATTGCTCATGAAAGAACATAAGAACGGCCATACTGGGTCAGGCCAAGGGTCCATCTACCCAGTCTCCTGTCATCCGACAGTGGCCAGTGCCAGGTGCCCCAGAGGGAATGAACAGAACGGGTGATCATCAAGTGATCCATCCCCTGTCGCCCATTCCCAGCTTCTGGCAAACAGAGGCTAGGGATGTTCACAGCATGGGGTTGCATCCCTGCCCATCTTGGCTAATAGCCATTGATGGACCGATCCTCCATGAACTTCTCTAGTTCTTGTTTTAAAGCGGAGCCATGGGGCCTGGTTCACACTCGCTGAGGCTGTCTCAGGAGTGCCCCGTGCAGCGTGGCCGGCGCTGGCCGGTTGCTCCAGGTCTGGATAGAGCAGGGTGGCCGGGAAGTAAAGTAGCAGCCAGAGACGCCCAGCTCAGACTGGCTGGGGGCCAGGTTCATGCTGCTGAGGTGCTGAGCTCAGCCCAGGGGCCCTGGTGCACCTCCCCTGAGCTGGGGCTGCAGGGCCCTGCTTTGTGCTGGCCTGACGGGGACCACCACCTGCTCTCTCCTGGGCTTGCCCTACACCTGGGGCGGGCCGGGCCCTGGGCCTGTGCTGGGGTATCCCCGAGCTCTCACAGTGGCTCTGTGACAACAGTGGGCTGGCCCCCCGGCGCTGACGAGCTGTGCGTTGGAGGGGATCCCTGAGCAGGCATGCCAGCTGCCCCTGCCCATGGTCATCACTTGGGCCTGCAGGCGGGGCAGCTGGTGCTGCAGGGGGCTGACTCCCACCCTGGGCGGGCGCCTGTACCCTGCCATGCCAGGGAGCCGGCTGCTGCCAGACCACACACAGTCCTTCTTGGGATGGGACCCATGAGGCCTGTGCCGCTGCCGCCTGGCTCCCAGCGGAAAGCAGGCTGCTGTGTCCTGGCCAGGCCGCTGCCAGCCCAGCCCTGCCTGGGCCCTCCCCTGCCCTGCTGCTCCATATCACACCCCCACGGAGGTGGGTCTGGTCCCACCCCGGTATTGAGTTCGGCTCTGTGGGGCGGCCATGGGGGAGCACTGGAGGCCCAGAAAGGCGGTAGCGTCACGCCTGCCCAGCGTCCTCCTTGGAGCCATGGCAGTGGGGGGCGGGGCCCTGCCGACAGCCTGAGCACGCTAGCTGGGCTGGAAGCCCCACTTCCGCTCTGCTGAGCAGCCGGCTGCCACAAGCACCGTGCCCGCCGATTCCTAGGAAAGTGGTTAGCTCAGAGCCACTTACAGGAACAACTGCACCAGGCTGCTTATGCAACACTTTTCGGTGCCTTTTCAGTGTTAACCACACGCCCCGGTTCTCCTCCTTTACCAGAAGCAGTACCCATGGCAGGAGCCTGGCCTGAGGTCGCCCCTGCTTCCGGCCATGCACCTCCGCACCCAGTGTTCCCTGCAGTGGCGCCGTGAGCCAGAGGCCTCCAGAGGCTGCGCTGTGCAAATGCCACACACCCAGCGGCTGACACAGGCGGGGGAAAATACCCAGCAGGGGCTGGCAGGGGGCATTCCCAGGGGGAGGGGGCTGAGTGCTCCGGTGGGTTAGTCACGCAGTGCGCACCACAGCCGCCCTGCCGGGAAGGGCTCCAGGTAATGCTCCTCGGTGACAGCTTGGCTCCTAGTGGGGCTGTGCGGCCCCGGCCAGCCTGGCTGTGCCCGTGGCACTTGCACGGGGGGAGGAGGGCGGGCAGCAGTGCCTGAGAACACGTTCTGGGGCCGCTGCGTTGCTCATGCAGGTGCTGGCCCTGCAGTGTTGCCAACGTGGGTGATTTTAGTGTGAGCCTCATGGTATTTGGTGTGTTCTTAAAGCGCCAGCTCCTGGAGTCAAGTGACTACTCAGCAGCTTGCCTTTCTTTAACAAACCCAGCAAGTGTCCTGCCCTGCTGGGGGTGGGGCAGCGCCTGGAAACAAGCCCCAACGGCAGTCCACAGCTGCAGTGGCTGGGCCTTGACGTAGGCACATTTCAATCAAACTCAGGCCGCGAATCCAGCTGGGCTCTTGTGTCATCCATGGCCCCCGCCCGGCTTTCTCGCCTGACCCCGAGTGGTCCCCAGGGGGTACTTGGCAGGCCCGCTACGCCGCACACAGCTAACCCTGCTCTTACGTCAGCGGGGCTCCATCTGCAGCGTTTGACAGCCCGCAGGCTGACAGGCAGGGCAAGCCTGGGGGTGGGGCATGCACCGTGATAGCCCCAGGCCTGGGCACAGGGTTTTCCCACCGCTCCTCACACAGAGGTTCAGGCCCATGTTTGTTCCTGGGCACAGGCCCATTGGAGCCGCAATCACTGGCTCCTCTAGCGGAGGGACTTGGGCCCCCTCACCTAGGCCAAGTCGGTTTGGTTTCAAGGGCTGATCTCTTACTACTGGTACAATAGCACCAGCTGCAATCAGCCCCCTGCCCCCTCCCCATTATAGCAGGCCATGCACTGACCCTTAGTGAGAGACAGTCCCTGCCCCAAAGAGCCGAGGCAGACAAAGGGTGGGAAAGGGAAACTGAGGCACAGGTGCAGACAGTCCCAAGGTGACTTGCCCAAGGTCACCCAGCAGGTGTGGCAGGGCCAAGAATTGTGCCTAGGCCCCCGCAGTCCCAGGCCCCTGCCCTCCCCACTGGACTATGTGGCCCCCTTGGGAGAGTGAAGAATGCATCTGACTCCTGCACTGCAGTGGGGGATGCGCCGAGGTTCCTTCTGGTTAAACCTCCCCCAGGCTCCAGTGCAACAGGGGTCACTCGGAGGGCAGCGATTGCAACACCTGCTGCTCTGGACTCCGCTGGAGCCCGGGTGGGACGAGGCAGTGGGCGCCGGTCAGCCTATCCCACCCTTGGCGCTCGTGCAGGGCTGGGCGCTAGCTACAAACGTCACACCAGTGCCAGCTAAGGGAGCATTGGCTGAAGGCTCCTCGCGCGCGCTAAGGCCTGGCTACTTAGGCTGACCTGTGGCAGCCCCTCGGTTTAGCTCTGGGCTCCCAGAGGTCCCGGGGCTGGCGGGTGCAGCAGCTGTGAGCCTGCTCCAGTCCCTGGCAACGTTCCCCTCTCTCCCCTAGGGCTTTCTGGCTGCACTGCTGCTGACTGGCAGCGGGTTCCCGTTGTTGGGCACCCCGAAGCCACGAGCGGCCGGGACTGGCAGCGAGCCCAGGAGGGCGAGGAGCCCGGCTGACTCTGCACTAGGGCTGCACCATCACCAGCGGCACCAGAGACACGTTGCTAGAAACAGCTGTGCACCTGACGACCCCTCGTACTCGCCAAAGCGCTGCTGCCAGAAGTGCCCGGCAGGTGAGGCTCGGCGGGCCCCCAGCCCTGCACAAGGCTTTGCCTGGCTCAGCGCTCGGAGTCCGGCCCCGTCAGCTGGGGAACTGAGGCACAGATTGGGTCAGTGATTTGGTGAGGTCAGCGCTAGGACCTGACTCAGGGCTCCCTGCTCTAGTCACTGCACGAGGCCCCCCTACCAGGAAAGCAATGGGGTGGGGCAGGGCATTGCTCCAAACCGCAGGGCACGCAGGTCAGAGAGCCCAGAAGGCCTGGAGGGACCGACCCAGTTAGCCAGCTGAGCCTCTGGGTATCCCGGGCGACCTCCCATCCCCACAGCGCCTGCGACTAACCTGCACGCTCATCCCAGCTGGTGTTGTTTGCAGGGAAGTTTATGACGGCTCCCTGCACGAGCCGTGGCAACGACACGGCCTGCAAGAGCTGCCCGCCCGGCACCTACCTCTCCTTCCAGAACCTCGAGCGGGAATGTCGAAAGTGCTCCGAGTGCCAAGCGCAAGGTAAGACCCTGGGCCGGGAGCCCAGCCACTCCAGCCCTGAGCCGCCAGCCTCTTGGCCAGCCCTTCCCCACCCCACTGGCCAGGGCCCTCAGGGGGCAGGAGAAAGCCTGGGGAACCTGGGCCCCGCTCTGAGAAGGAAGCAGCCCCCTTCCCCTCCCCTCCGCACAGAGGCCTGCTCAGGAAGCCTGTCCTGTGTTCAGCTTCCCAGCTCGTGCTGAAGAACTGCACCGAGACGAGCGACATCGAGTGCGGCTGTGGGGTCGGCCACTTCATGCAGTGCACGGACCCTGCCTGCAGAGACTTCACCTGCCAGGAATGTCGCCGGTGCAAGGGCAGGGCCACCCAGAAGAACTGTGAGTGTCCAGAGCGCTGCCTGCTGCCGTTGGAACCTGGCACTACTGCCCGCACTGCTGTGCCTTCCGCGCTGCCCCCCCCGCGGTCCCGCTGCCCCCCACGCTGCCCCCTGCGCTGCCCCTGCCTGCCCTGCT